AGGGAGAAAAAAGGAAAGAAAGAACAGGGTTTGAGGGGTTGGTGGTCCCAACAGTTACAGGGATGGAAGCTGTGTGATGAACTGGGCTCTTATATAGGAAGTCACAGATGCAAATCATTTGTCAATCCTCATAAATTCAAAGATTTCTTTTCTGAAATAAAAGTAAGGAGAAAACGGATTCCGTTTACATTCCTCAATTTCTATTTATGTCAATTAAAAAAAAACCCTCAGGTAATTAAGGCTTTGGAAGAAGGTAAGTTCCCTAATTAAACTGGCATAATGCATTTTCGAGGTTGAGCGGGGAATAGGTGCCCCAGTTAAGCTTAGGATCTAAAGGCCTAGTTCTAGCTCAAGTGTCATAGAAAGGCTCTGCTGAAAGCCGAGGGCATTGTGGCTGCACCGGAGAGCTGGGGAGCCAGGCAGCCTGTCAGAGCTTGTCAAGGTGGCTCTGGCTCTACATGAGCTCTGGGAATTCTCTGGTGACCACAGGTAGTCACACCAACATTTGATGCCACCAGAAATACCTACCTTCTCAAAATAAGTTCTTAAATTTGTAAATGGACCATTCTGTCTGTACTCAGCTGTCCCTTTGAAACAAGAGGAAGATGCTCTGGGAGTTTCAAAAGCATTCTGTTGACAACGAAGCAGCATAGACATTCGTGAGAACATCAATGGTACTTCATTAGTTTTTGTCCCCCAGCAAAGGGAAAGGCTGTTTTTTAAAGTTTTTTTTTTCTGAGACAGGGGAATGGCTGTCAGTAAAGGCCCTTGTTTCCAAGTCTTGACTACCTGAGTTCAATCCTTGGGATGTACATGATGGAACGAGAAAACTGACTTCCACCTGATTTCTGTGGTATTTGAGTGGGTGAACACAGAGAGATGAGAGAGAGAGAGAGAGAGAGAGAGAGAGAAATGTAAAAAAAAAATTAAATAAAATCTCAAGCTTAAACTGGGAGTGGTAGTGCACACCTTTAATCCCAGCACTCTGAAGGCAGTGGCAGGGGGATCTCTGTGAGTTCAAGGCCAGCCTGGTCTCCATAGTGAATCCAGGCCAACTGTGACTACAGGGAGACCCTGTCTCAAAAAGACCGAAAAAAAAAAAAAACCCAGAAGGGATGAAGATATAGCTCAGTGGTGGTCTGCTTGCTTGACATGTATAGGCCCTGGGTTCAATCCCGAGTACCACAAAAACAAACAGACAACAGAATTTTCATCTTGGTATTAGCAGTGATACCATGAGATTGGCAGTGCCCTAGTTAAGTCAATGTATTAAATTAATTACTCTGACATCAATGTATCATTGTCTTCTATTTTGAAATTAGTGGGAGCTGAGTTCACTATTCCTATTACATTTAAGAATTAACTGTTGAAAAGTTCGAACTATCACCTGTTTATATACTATCATTACTTCACTAAAACTTACAAGATAGAAACTGATTTATCTGTTGTCCCATTTTTTTTTCCAAAAAGCTGTCTTAATGAGTTCCAAAACCAAGTTGTATAAAACTCTAAGTTTCTTATATCCATAATTGTAGCTTTGAGTATGTACCTTTCTTTTTAAAAATTAAAAAAAAATTTTATGTGTATGAGTGTTATGCCTGCATGTACGTAAATGCACCCATGTCATGCAGTGCCCAAGGATGTCAGATCCCCTAGAAGTGGAGTTATGGATGGTTGGTAGTTGCCATGTGGGTGCTAGAATTTGAACCCAGGTCCTCTGCAAGAACAGCCAGTGCTCTTAACCGCTGAGCCATCTCTCCAGCCCCTTCATGTATAATTCTTAATAGAATGATAGTTGTATGTGTGTGTGTATGTGTGTGTGTGTGTGTATGTGTGTGTTTATGTGCATGCCACAAGTGCATGTGTATGGAATGCAGGGGACAACTTGTGGGAGTCCATTCTACCATGCGGGTTTCGGGATTCAACCTCAGGTCATCAGGCTTGGCAGCAAGTGCCTTTACCTACTGAGTCCTCTCATTGGCCCAGTGAGTGTATACCTTCGTTAGCTTATTGTAATAGAAACATATGTATAGTCTATGTTATAAACTATAGATGTATGGAAGAGTAGGGATTCACATAATTGTAAGTTCCAATACCATTAGCCACGTAGTTCAAGTTGGAATTAGAGACAACCTTCTGGAATTTGGACAGTGTCCACCTGTTTGTTTCATAGTCCATTATTATAAGACTCTGTAACACCCGTCATTGGGTCTCTCCTGTACATATAATCTCATGTGTTTCAGATTTCCTCTGCTGGCCTTGATTTTAAATATTTTTCTTATTGTTAAATAGCCTGTCAGAGAGTAGCTATAAGTCTAGACATTCTTGATTTCCTAGAAAAAGACCATGAATTTTAAATGAACTTAAGACTCATGATTAAGAAGAGATTGGAAAGTTGTGACAAAATTTTGATGTAGAGCCTATAAAATTCAGTTTATCATTACTAATGTGAAAGTGATTGACCTGTGCCAATGATTTCAGAAAAAAACAGTTGTTTTCTTTCAAACTAAATGATATTAACGTCTTTAAGAAGTACATGAAATTTTGTTTTTCTTTTGATAACTGGAAATACGGAGTCATCTTTATTTTCTCTTTCTTTACATAAGTAGTTTTTAAAATATTCAAGATGTGTATGCATCTGAGTGCTAATAGTGCCAATGTACCAGGCCAAACATTTGCCACTGACTGTCAAGTCTCTGTGATGTAGCTAAAGAGAGGGAGAAGGAGAGAGAGAGAGAGAGAGAGAGAGAGAGAGAGAGGAGAGAGAGGGGAGAGAAAGAAAGAGCAATGTCCCTTGAGCAAGACTTTCTGCAGCTGTTGTGTACATTAATCCAGGGAGCAGCTCTCCCAACACTAAATATAGCAAGCAGATCCTTTTACATGATTAAAAAAAAAAAGTTTTAAATGAAAGCCTTTAACTACGAGTCACATTATTTTAGATTTGATTTCCTTTAAAAAGGAAATAGGCACGGCACCCATATTTTCCATATAAATGTTCTTTTAATTAATATATAGAAAATGCCAGTTATATCTGTAACATGTCACAGCATCCTCTATTGAAGTATTTTTCCTTAGAACACAATAGACTGCCATCTCTGTGAGTCTCAGCCCCCAGCCCCAAAGCTGTGCATGGAGACATCTTTCTTTTCCATTTAATTGTGTATCTCATCGTACATAATAGAAAGTTATCTGAGGTTTCACCCCAAGGAACACAGTAATTAACTCCATGAAATATCCCTTTCCCACTGTCAGTTACCTCTTATCAAAACACACTTTGTAAACTTAAATCTGGATATTACCTTTCTTTTTTTAGGTGACCCAGATGAGGCGAGAGTTCAACCCAGGCACTCCACTGCGATGGTAATTATTCACGGAGAAGTTTTCGAGGAAAACACAGGAGAAAAGGAAATTTCTTCACGCCCTTGGAAGGAGAGAGTAGCTGTCCATAGAGAACGAGGAGTTAACCTCACTTTCGGTGAAGATGGCTGTAAGAAGCTGGGCAACCTGTCACCACCGGAGCCAGAGCATTTGTCAGCTCACAGGTCCCAAGTTATTTTGAGCTGTATCAACCATGTGCCTGTGAAACATTCCACCTGATTGGACAGGAGAAAACTGAGCAAAGGGCTTCCACAGCAGGACAGCACCTTCGGGGGCTGGGGTCAGTGGTTTTTCTACCTATAGAATTTCATTTACAGCTGGACCATCAATGTGTTTATTGATTGATGTTTGGAATTAGCGTAAATGCACTATATTCTATACCTACCACCTGTCAAAGGAAATGGTGTTATTTTAAAAGTGTATTAGAATTTGTAATTTTAGTCTATTTTTTAAAGTTTTACATTTACGTATTTATTATCTGTGTGTGAGTTTGTATGGTGTATGTGTGTGTGGGGTGCATGCCTGCCATAGCGTGTGTGTGAAAGTCAGAGACAATTCTCAGGATCGGGTTCTGTCCTTCCACCTTGTGGGACCTAGGGATTGAACTCTAGTTATCAGGCTTGGCAGCAAGTACCTGGGGCATATCGTTGGTCCAATAGCTTTAATTTTAATCAATGGAAAACTTTTGATATTGATAGCAATATCATTTAATCATTAATTAATCATTAATAATCATTAACTGAGGAAATTTGACTCTGAAAAGGTAATGCAGTCTAACATCTTAAAGCTAAAAGGTTTTTGGACTGCATGTCCATAGGTCACTACAAATCACAGAGAAAAAGTAGAAGAAAAAAAAGAAAACAATCAGCTTGAGAATAAACATAGGCACAAATCAGTTCGAACAAACTTCAAAAACCACAAATTGGATACTTCTTAAAGCTAAAACAAAGGCCGACTCTATGGCTCAGTGCATAGAGCTGCTTGCCACCAAGACTGATGACCTGAATTCAATTTCCTGGGAGCCCACATGGTAGAAAGAGAAAACCAACTCCTGTGAGTTGTCCTCTGACCTCCACATGTGCACCATGGCACATATACACATGCATACACACACACACGAATAAATAAATGCAATTTTTAAATTAAAAAAAAAACTGGGACAATCAGATGGCTCAGCAGGTAATGTGCTTCCCATGAAAGCCTGGGACCCACGTAAAGGTGGAAGGAGAGAACCAACTCCACAGAGTTGTCCTCTAACCTCTATGTGTGTGCTATGGTACATGCATGCACACACACAATAAATAAAAAATTTTTAAAAGAGATTGTTATGTTTTAAATTTATTATTTTCATTTTTATGTGTTTTGCCTATATGTATGTAAGTGCACCCATGTTGTGCAATGCCCACGGAGGTCAAAAGAGGGCTTCGGATCCCCTAGAACTGGAGCTATGGGTGTTGTTAGTCACCATGTGGGTGCTGGGAACTGAACCTCAGTCCTCTGCAAGAGCAGCCAGCGCTCTTAACTGCTGAGCTATCTCTCCAGCTCCAGGAGTTCCAGAGGGGTAAGAGTGTATCTTAGTGGAGAGGCAGGGCAGCAAGCAGAAGGTGTGGAGGGGCTGGACCCTGAGAGTTCACATCTTGAACCACAAAGATGAAGCAAAGTGCTGGAAGTGGGCAAGGCTGTGAGTGCTCAAAGCCTGACACCAGTGACACTCTTCCAGCAAGGCTACACCTAGAGATTCCATGATCTCCCCAAACAGCACCACCAGCTTTAAATGGAGCGCAAAGGCCAGTGTGTTGAAAGCTTTGTTGCCAGCCTCTGGTGCTGCTGGGAGGCGGTGATAGAACTTTTGAAGGTGGAGCCTAGTGGTTATATCACTGGGGGCAAGCCCTCAGGAGAACTGGCCCCATGTCCTCATTCCTTTCCAGCCATGATGGACCCCTCCCTGCTAGGGTCTCTGCCACAGGCCAAATTGACAGGGCCAACTGACCATGGATGACAATCTACAAATAGCCCAAATTAACCTTCCTCTCTCTGATTCTCAGGAATTTGTTACAGCAACTGAAATAATTACCTCCATAAGCAAACTAAAATTACTCAACTAAAAATCTGGTTACCTATTAATATTCATTTTCATATTTTGAATGTTTTGCAAGTTTATTTTTAACCTTCCAAAGCTAAGTGGTGGTGTAAGCCTGAAACCCCAGCATCCTGGAGGTGGAGATAGGAACAGTAGTTGCACTCCTGCTACATAATGAATTTGGTTTATGTGCGATGCCAACTCAAAAAACAGAAATCTCCTGTACCATAAATAGTATTTAAAAGTATAATTGTAGCCGGGTGTGGTGGCACAAGACTGTAGTCCCAGCCCTTGGGAGGCAGAGGCAGGCAGATCTCTGTGAGTTCGAGGCCAACTTGGTCTACATAGTGAGTACCAGGCCAGCTGGGGCTACAGGGAGACCCTGTTTAAAAAACACAAAAACACCAAAAACAAACAAACAAAAGTATAATTGTAAACAATTAAGGTAGGAATTTTTTTTTAAGTATAAAGGTATTTGAGGCCATGGTGGTACACACCTTTAATCCCAGGCAGGGGGAAGCAGATCTCAGTGAGGTGGAGGCCAGCCTGGTTTACACAGTGAGCTCCATCTTAATGGAAATACAAGAGTACATTAGATACTAAAAGCTTTTGCAATGTGATGGTTATTAAGAACTTTGAAGCAGGAAAAGCCCAGAGATAGAAATAGGGAAGTTAAGAGGACTCTCCCAGACAGAAGTCTTTGTTTTCCAAGGCTTCCACAATCCTGTAGTCTTTGCAGCCCTTTGTTCCCTTACTTATCAGGTATATGCTATGTACCTTTTGCTTACATTCCTCACAGGAGTATAAAAGCCCCTCAAATTTGAACAAGGGGTCTGACTTCTTTATGGAAGGTCAGTCCTGCTAGTGGGAAATTAAACTCCCTCTCCTCACTTGGAAGGAAAAACGATGCCAGGCATGGTGGTGCATGCCTTTAATCCCAGCACTTGGGAAACAGAAGCAGGCAGATCTCTGTGAGTTCAAGACCAGCCTGGTCTACATAACCAGTTCCAGGCCAGCTGTGGCTACAGGGAGACCCTGTCTCAAAAAGACAAAAAAAAAAAAAAGTTATAATGACTAAATGATATAGCACAATACAACTCTTAATAATATATTGGTACCTGAAGATAATTTTTGGATATTATTTTGAAAAAAAAATCAATGTTAGATGTCATCTTTCATAAGCATTAATCAGTAAGAAAAAAACCTTAATGTGACCAACATCTGCTCAGATACTAATCTTGTAAATATATAGTTCCTTTAATGTTAATTTCATATATATTTTTAAATATGAGTTTGAGCTGGGCATGGTGGTACACACCTTTAATCCCAGCACTTGGGAGGCAGAGGATCTCTGTGAGTTCGAGGCCAGCCTGGTCTATATAGCCAGTTCCAGGCCAGCTGGGGCTACAGGGAGACCCTGTCTCAAAAAGACCAAAAAAAAAAAGAAAAAAAGAATATGAGTTGAAAAACATTAGCTCCATTGATTAGAACAGATTTAGTGACAGTTTAATACTGTCAATCTTATCAGAAGCCTGCATTCTAAAAATTCATACTTGAATGCCTCGAGTTGTTTTTTAAAAAATTTTATTGAGCTTTTAAAAAATATTTTATTTTATTATTTTTATTTTATGTGTACGCGTGTATTGCTTGCATGTAGGTGAGAATGCCTGGGGAGGACAGAAGAGGTTGTTGGATCCCCTGGAGCTGGAGTTATGGACAATTGTTAGTTGCCATGTGGGTGCTGGGATTCGAACCTGGGTCTTCTGCAAGAACAGTCAGTGTTCTTAACCGCTGAGCCATCTTTTCAGGCCCCACAAGTTAATTTTTAAGGATCATTTTTAAATTCTGGTAGCATGAAATGCATTGGTTTAAATCTGGCTTTATCATTAAATCACACAACTATTTATAAGTGTCTTCTCATTCGTTCATTCATTCATTCATTCATTCATTCATTCATTCATTCAATGTGTATTTACTTAATGCTACCATGTGCCAGGCACTAGGTAAAGCAGTGCACAGAATCCACACCTCCTCCTCACCTCATGGAACTTACTAACAGATCTCTATCCTCTTTAGTCATCTTGAGACTTTGAATAGAGCATTGAAAATAGAGCATTGTTTATTGGGATTGCGTCAGAGGTTTCATCATAATTTTTCTTCTAGGGTCTTATGCTTAGACTGGCAACATAGAACTATTATTGAAGAGGGAAAAAGAGACAGCAAGAGCTGAGCTACCTGGTTAGGTCTTTCTTTTTTTCATTTTAAAAACTGAATTAGTATACAAAGTAACAAGTTTCCTTGACATTTTTATGCATAGTTCTGATCCTCTGCTTTACCCTGCTCCTCCCCCCCCATCTCTCTGTTGCTCTGTCCCCACAAACCCGGTTATCCCCTTCCATCACCAGAATTCTGTGTTCTGCCTTCTTATCACATGTATTTTATTACCCTCCCCAATCTCTATCTTAATATCTTAATATTATATATTAGCCAGGCTTGGTGACACACTCCTATAATCTCAACACTTGTGAGGCTGAGACAGGAGGATTGTTGTGAGTTCAAGGCCAACCTGAGTACCTAGACTACAGAATAAGATCTTGTCTTGAAAAACAAAAAGCAAAATAAAACAAGTCTTGGGTTGGATGTCTCTAAGTGGGAGAGCTCTTGCTTAGCATGCACAAGGCCCTGGTTTCAATCCCAGGCACCATAAAAACAATAAAAAATAAGTGGGGATCTTTCTCCGTGATCTCACTTGAATCATAATTAGTATCCAGGGCCCCAAGTTCTTAGATGCAGACATGGAAGAGTGGAAGCTCTATTTCAGAGAGTTGATAGGTATGCCACAAATTGACCTTCCACAAGGAAATGTTTAGATACACTATAAGGGAACATGTTTATTTCCCTGAAAATTGCCTAGACGAGCCTGGCAGCCTGGCTTCTACCTAGGCATAAAGTACTGGGTTTGGAGGAGACCCATACATATGAAAGACAGAGTAGTGCTGGTAGGACAGTGGAACGAGGGATACATGCCAAGCAGCAATACAGATTTAACATGAAAAGAGTGATTGCAGAAAAGCCAAGAAATTTCTAGGAATTTTTTTTTTTGTGAGAGTAACATTTTCAAATATAAATACTCAAAATTTTAAGCTCTTAAAAAAGCTAAGTATAGGCCTTCTGCCCCACCACCCAGAAAAAAGCTAAGTATTAACATCTAAGTATTATTCAGCACTTGTGGGTACTTTGCTTATAGTGTATCAAAATCAGTCTAGACTTTATAAAATTGGTTTCTACTCCCATATAACCTAGTCCCAGCCTTGCCTATCAGTTATAATTAAA